ACCGGGACATAAAGTCCAACCACATGTGGAAAATTCAACTAGCCAGATGGTTTTTAATATATATGTATTTTATATTTTTGCAATAAACATCTACTTAAATTTTTAAACAAATGTAATACATTTTTTTTGTAAAACACAATTAAAAGTTAACGACGAAAACTATGTTATCGTTTTACTTCCGGTGTTGACCGGAAGTAAAGCTATCGGTTCTACAGCTGTCATGGCGGAGAAGAAAAATGTTTTGGGGCTGCCTCTGTTGCTTTTATTAATTTCTGTGAGCCTCCTGCACTTATTCATTTGTCCTTTCACTAAAGTCGAAGAAAGCTTTAATCTACAAGCGACGCACGACATACTATATTACAGGCTTGATTTTGATAAGGTAAGCAGCATTTCAGTGATGCAGAAGGTAAATCACACGCATGCGCACAAGTTACAAACCACAACTGGTTTAAAGTGACAAATGGAAGAGAAATCAGTCTTAATTCTTGGTTTAAATAATAATAATAAAAAAAAGTGAAATTGCATAGAAAATAATTAATGTAGTCCTATTTCAACCTATAAGGAAGAGGATTATGGCCACTGAAAAAACAAAAGTTAACTGATTTTTACATTTTATTTCAGTATATGAGGAAAAAAAAGTGAGAATTTTGACTTTAATCTCAGAATTCCGACTTTAATCTCAGAATTCCGTCTCCAATCTCAGAATTCTGACTTTTTTTCTCAAAATTCTGACTTTAATCTCAGTATTCTGTCTACAATCTCAGAATTCTGACTTTTTTCCCTCAGAATTCAGACTTTAATCTCAGAATTCTGACTTTTTTTCTCATATTATACTGAAATAAAACGTAAAAATCAGTTAACTTTTGTTTTCAGTGACCCTAATCATCTTCAGTAAACCTACTATTTATCTATATTTGAAATAAACGTAATTAGGAAAAAATACATTTTTCATAATAGCTAATTATATACCTGTTTAACAGATACATGTAGTAGATTGCATAAAACTTAATTATTAATAATTAATGAATAATATAAAGCTAACCATATAAATTTAGCTCAAGCAGGAGAGCTATAAAACTAACAAATATATATTATAGACTTTGTTTAAAATAAATAAATATTTTTAGTTCAAATCAGCATCAGTAGATCCTAAGTTTTACAAAATGCAGAGCTCAGAAATTGGCCCCCCAAGTCAGGTCTCTGCATCTCTAAATACTAACAATAGCTTTTTTAGTGTTAAGTGGTTTTAAAAGTTTGTTGGAAACTATAAAATATTGTTTCTGTCTCTTAGTATGACCATCATGAATTCCCTGGAGTTGTGCCACGTACTTTTCTCGGCCCCTTGTTTCTCTCTGCACTCAGCTCTCCTGCTGTTTTTCTATCCTCTCTCTTGGAGGCCCCAAAGTTCTACACTCTGCTTATAGGTAAGTAAACCCACAGTAAATAACTGCTTTAAACTGACCTTTGTAAAGCTCTTTAATCTGTGTTCTGAACAGTCCGAGCCTCGCTGGGATTTTGCGTGATCAGCGCTTTATGGTTCATGCAGAGAGAAGCGAGGAGGCAGTTTGGCTCCACAGTTGCAGGGCTTTTTTGTCTGACCTGTGCATCCCAGTTTCACCTCATGTTTTACAGCACCAGGACACTCCCTAATGTCTTTGCACTACCGATAGGTAAGCTGCGCTAATAACACATCATTACTGAGAGAATCTTGTTGAATTTCTTAATTTATGAGTGAAATATTTCTTCTCCAGTTCTTGTAGCATTTACGTGTTGGATGGCTCAGAAACATGGCTGGTTCATCAGCCTCTCTGCTTTGGTCATCATCGTGATCCGATCTGAGCTCTGCATCTTGCTAGGCCTCATGTTGCTGATGTCACTGCTGAGCAGGAGACTAGGGCTGCTGCAGTTGATCTACTACGCTGCTCCTGCTGGACTCTTTTCCCTGAGTGAGTGCAGACGTTACAGTGTTTACTGAGGTGGACAAATCCATTGGCCACTTAAAATGAAAAATCTTTGCAGCTTCCTTAGAAAACAGACAACATACAGTATGACGGGTCCTCTGCTGTACCTAACAATAGACAGAAGTTGTTTTAGGTTGTTTTTGCAGATATGCAGCTTTATTTTTTTAATAAAGGATACCTAAAAGATGCTATTACTAAAAGTGCATTAGATTAAAGCAGAAATTTGGTTTTTGTTTCCTTTTTTGCAGCTCTGACAGTGGCTGTTGACACCTTCTTCTGGAGGAAGCTTTTGTGGCCTGAGGGGCAGGTGCTGTGGTACAACACTATTCTTAATAAAAGTTCTAACTGGGGAATATCCTTTTAGGAAAAATAAGTCAAGTTGTTTTATGTTTTTTTGCATTTTTCAAATCCTGTTATGCAAATACACAAAAGTAACTTTCCTCATCTTGACAATCTGTCCCCAAGTTCTCCTTAACCCCTCTCTCTGTTAGACCTCGCCCTTTCTATGGTATTTTTACTCCGCCATACCCCGTGCCCTGGGCTGCACGCTGCTCTTCGTACCCCTTGGCCTCCTTGACAAGCGAATAAGACTGCTGCTGTTCCCCACAGTGGGCTTTATCCTCATCTATTCACTGCTGCCTCACAAGGAGCTGCGTTTCATCATTTACACCTTCCCTGTGCTCAATTTGGCAGCTGCACGCGGTTGCTCATTTATGCAAGTTGAACTTGATTGTGGGCAAGAGAAAATAAAATAACATTCACATCATGTTGCCAGTATTTTTATTTCCTTTTTTTTTTTTTCCAGATTGTGCAACTACCAGAAATCCTGGATGTACAAACTGGGCTCTGCAGTTGTAATTGGCCAGCTGTTAATCAACTCAGTGTACACTAGTGTTAGTCTGTACGTTTCTCACCACAACTACCCAGGAGGCCGAGGAATCCAGGAGCTCCACAGGCTACAGCCCGCCTCAGCAGGTCAGAATCACTTCTGGAGCTTTAGCAACTTCTCAAACCTGATACCACACCATTTAATCTAACCCCTTATTATCAACACATGTTTTTAATGCTGTGAATAGAGATTAAAAGCACAAATATGTTTCCCCCTCCAGATGTCTTTGTTCACATTGACACCTTTGCTGCTGAAACAGGAGTTTCACGCTTCTTAGAGCAAAACAAAAACTGGAGGTAAGTGATGCATAAACAGTTCCCTGGAATTATTGTCCCCTCTCCTAAAGATATGTAAAAATGTATTTAAATGTATGGTTTGTATGGCAGAAGCACAATTTCACACAAAACGTTATTCAAAACAGATTGTGCTGTGATATATGGACCTCTGAAAATCCCCAGACCTAGGAAAAAATAGTTGCTTAGAGAAATGCATCCAAAGAACAAAGTTCTTCTTAGAGATTTTTTTCTTATTTATAAAGATTGCTATACATGTTTTCCCATTTTAAAGAGGAGCCTAATAAAAATAAGTTATATTTGTTCCAAGGAAAAAGTTTTCTTGTTTCCCTATTTTGTATTGAGAAACAGTGCTGTCACAAAACCACATCCCACGATTAGAAGTTGTTTATCTTCACTCTTACTTTGTTGGAAATAAACCATTATTTCTAATCATTTTGTTTGACTAAAAGCACTCAGATTTTTCTGTTATTTTTTAAAAATATCTAGTATTTTATATCTTTTTAGATTTTTATAATGCAAATAGGTCATATTTTAGTATCACTTCATAAAATGGGGTCCCTCTTGCTTCACATTATGTTGATACTTTTTTTCAATTCTACAGATATGACAAAAGAGAAGACATAAGCACCACAAGTCCTGAGACCCAGATGTACTCCCACTTGCTGATGGAGGCTAACGTCACCAAGATACAGCAGCTCCAGGACACTCATAAGCCTCTGGCCTTCATTGAGGCTTTCAGCAACATCGCCTTCAGCGCGGCTAACTTCCCACCCATCAGAGTGCATCTGAGGAGGAAAGCTGTGCTGATGGAGAGAAAGAGCTGGAACCCCAAACCGAGACACACATGAACTGAAATTTGATGGTTGAATTTTCAATTGACCAAATATATGATGCTGCTAGGATATCTTTTTTTACGGTGTCAAAATTCAACATAGATCTACCCTAGCAGACATCATCTATTGTTTACGCCAGATTTATATATTTTGGAAACTAATATAAGCGAATAAAACCACACAGTAAGCAGCTTAAAGTGTGTTGTCTTTTTTTGAGATAAAAAAGATGTTTAGGTTCTTCCCTGCATTATTGAAAGTCTGTCTTCATTTAGTAAAAAAAAAAATGCTAAAGCAAGTTGTCTACTACAGTTTTAAATAGGTTTAATTGGATGATAATTCACACAGGAGCAGGTGTGCTACCCATGTTCTTCCTGATTTACACACTGAAAAAAAAAAACACGCTTGTTTTTTGTTTTGTTTTCAATGGTCCATATAAGCAGCTTGAGGCCCAAACCAGCCCGAACAAAATTTACCAAGATTTCTTTTAACTTAAAAAAAGATAATCTGACAAGATGTCAAAGAAAAAAGGACCCAAATTAAAAACTTCCTGAGTACTAGTTTCACCTATCTTTTTCAAGCTGGGAGCACGGTTATTTAAATTTCCAAAAATAATGCTGGAATTGGCAAAAATCCCAACCTTGTCTTTTTCCTCACAGCATGATCTAATATTTCTAAATCTGTTTACAGGCATATTGTGTACTAAGGTTGCATTCTCTTCTAAAGTTGTATAAAGATTGTAATCTTGCTCCTGAAAAAATAATTCCTTCAAAATCTATTTTTTTTAATGGAAATGGTTTAGCCTAACAGAAACATAAAAGAGGTAATACAAGAATTTATAAATAGGATTTACTGAAATGCTTTAGCCCTTAAAATTTCCTAAATACAAACAAAACCATTAAAACAAAAAGTATAATTTGCACAATATTTTGAGACTGGTGTTTAAAAATAAATAAATATCAACTTTTCCCTTAAAGGTGAAGTTTCTTACAAAAGCTAGCATACAAAATAAAAGAAATAACTGTTTAAGTAAAACCTTTATTTACAAATGACCACAAAATTTTGATTTTTCCAGTCTGAATGCTAAAAGGTTTATCAAATTAGGTTCAGAATTCCATTTCTTATAAAATGTACAGTACAGTTAATCAATAATAAACCCATAATTTAACCCCCTGGAAATAAACTTAAATTGTGCTTAAGAGACAATTGGTATATTCCAAAGAACCCATCCTATTCTGAAAATACAACACCATGATACATCTCATTAAAAACATTTCAGCGAGTAAAAATAAGAAAAAGACTATTTCTAAGTGACAGTACCGTGCGCCTCAAATTTACAGAGAAAAATTAAATAGCGTTAACTTATGTCTTTCAGTCACAGCATTTATTCTTTTGGGCCATGTTTTCATACGGAAAAAAAAAATCTTTGTATCTTAAATTCCTAAGAAGAAAAATTATCCTGATGCAATCTGCACATTTCTATAATATTTACAACATTTGACCAGAAGTAGTTTTGGTTAAGGCACAAGGAGAGAGTAGACGGACAAAAAACAAAACAAAGAAAGGTTACTAGCAAACACATCATTACCAACCCCCTACAACTATTAAAAAAATAAACAAAACAAAAAAGCCAATCCCCTCCCTCCCTGATACACTTCTCACTGAGACATTTCATCATAACAGCTCCAAGTGTTTAACAGTAGTACACAACACAAGAAACCCTCAATCTGGCCTTTGCATTAAGAATCAGTGTATAAGTCTCTATCTTACAATTAGCTCCACATAACCCCACCCGTTTCACAGCTATGCAACTTGGTCCTTGATAGAACGGTTTTCAAGTTAATGCTCAACAATGTTCAGTACTTAAAATAGATCAAAGGGAGATTGACCTTAAGAAACAACAGTCCTTCTAAGTTGTCCAGCATGGGCCTGGGCTGGTTTAGAGCACAGTTCATGCTGGCAGTGCTGAACAGTGTCTCAGCTGGGACAATGCTGGGAGGGCAGCCCACGTAACGGGCGGCTACTTTGGCGAGATCAGGCCACAGGAACTTCTTCAGGTTCCAATAGTCCAAGGGGTCACAGCCTTGATCTAAAATGTCCTCCTCCAAATACTCCAGCACTGCCAGCTCTGAGGACTTGGTCTTCTCTTCTCTTGTGTTTTGCCTGACTTCAGGAATCAAGGACCAGAGGTTGTCTCTGTTTGAATGCGGGATTTCAGAGGAAACTGTGTCCTCGCTGCAGCCGTTGGACAGGACAGAGTTAACTGGAACTGAGGTAGAAGAGGACGAGTCTAGCTCCTGGATCAGATCTTGTTTGCAACGTTCAGCTTCTTCTTCTGTGAACAATGACGTTTTGTATCTAGGGTCCAACATGGTGGCCCAGGTGTAACGCGGGTCATGCAGAGTTTCCGACATCCTGCTCATCATTGCTTCCTTTAGAGACATCAGCATATTGTCTATGCCCACAGTTTCATCAAATAGGAGATCTATTTTCCTGTTAAGGATGTGAATGAGTGGTATGACCTGTCCCAGAGAGGCAGTGCGGTTACTCAGCTCTGTGTAGGCGACCTCAAACGGTTTCAATGCATTACAGACAGACAGCATCACCTCCCACTGGTCACAGCTGATTATCTCCCTAAAATTGCACTCTATCGACAACTCATCAATGGCCAACTTCTGCTCCACCAGCCGTTCCAGCATGAAATAGGACGTCCTCCACTTGGATGGGACGTCCTGGATCAGCTGGTTCTCCGGCAGCTGGTGAACCTTCTGAAGCTCTGCCAGTTTTTCCTTTGCTGTCGCCGAACGGTGGATCCGTTCGCAGATCTTTCTAGCCATGCTCAGAAGGTTTTGAACCATTCTCTGGCTTTTTATGGCTTCACTTACAATGAGGTCTATAGTGTGGCCAAAGCACTCCACAGTAACATGGCCGTGCTCCTCAAGGGTATTTTTGATGGCGGCATTATCTGTTAAGGTGATCCCCTTCTTCAGCCCCGGTGAAGTGATCCAGGAATCCCACAGGTACTCGAGCTGCTTTGGGATGTCGTGCATATCTTGATCACAATCTATTTGTGAGACACTTAGGAGAGCAGAACAGTGGAAGTCGTGACCTTGAGGTCTGATACTTGACTCATACGTTGCCCAGTGGGCGGTAAGGGTCAGGTATTCCCTCGTCTGGCTGCTGACCCAAATACTCGTTGTGAAGTGGACAACCCCGCCTTCAGCCTCTTTTAGATGGGTCAGCACAACATCTTTCACCTTTTCATAGATTTCTGGTATGGCAGTGCTGGTAAAATAAGAAGAAGGTGGTAGCGAATACTGAGGCTTGAGGAATTCTAACAGTCTGTAAAGTCCAGAATTCTCTACCATGGCTGATGGCTGAAGATCCAGTGCGAGCATTTCCGCTATAAGCCTGGTGATCTTTTTGGCAACAGGATGGTTTTCATCAAATCTCTCACAGTTTTGCTCTGGCTGATAAAAGGGGGTTTCCACCACCTCTTGTTTAACGCGAATTTCAGCAGACGGCACCTCACCTGAGATAGCACTGTTACGCTCAAGGAAATGTTCATGGAACCTTTGCATGTGCCTGAGGAGGCAGCTTGTGCCGAGGTTCGTAGTCTTTTTCCCCCTGCTAATTGTACGGCTACAGTGCAAACAGACCACCTTGGTGGGATCAGAGACGGAAATGGAAAAATGATTCCACAGTTTTGATGTCTTTTTGCTGAAAACTGGCACGAGTTGGGGTTTTTTCTCAGGACCGTCAGTTTCTTTGGCTGAAACTGAATTTGAGGTGAGGGGCTCGTAAGGTTGAGGGGAATATTTCTTCTCGTCGAGGCATTTTTGGTTTTTCATAATGTCTGGGTGACGCCTCACGAGATGCCTCATCAGGCAGCTTGTCCCAAACTCGCCCCGCTTGCCTCGACTAATGACACAAGGGCAGTAACGGCACAGTGCTTTCAACTGGTCAACTGGTGACACTATGAAATGGTGCCAAACTTCAGATTTCACCCGTTTCATAATCTTCTTATTCTGCTGGAAAACCAAACGATCCTGCATGAAGCTGGGGCCTTCAGAGAGGTCAGATGGTGTGGAAGTTAGTGGTTTATCATCCCCCTGAGTTTTGAAGAAGTTAAAATAATCCTGCCCTGAGAGATGCTCTTCACGCTCCTCCTTAATGTCCATGCTTTCTTCTATGCTTTGGGGTAGGTCGTCCGATATGGTTTCTGGTGATGAGATAAGAAAGGGTGGCTCTTTTTTTATGTCCATTACATCCTGTAGCTGTGAGCGAGGTGTCATTGAAGGAGGATTCGTATAGGGTGGCGGAATGTGGTTGCCCTGTCCATTTTCCTCAATCACAACCTCTTTGTGGGCTCTCCACATGTGGCGGATGAGACAGCTTGTTCCGAGATCCTTTCCGTTTTTGCCCCTACTGAACTCATTCATGCAGTGGATACACACAGCTTTTGAACTGTCAGCAGGGGAAAGATAGAAATGCTTCCAAACGGCTGACCTTCGGCGGGAACTGGAGCCTTTTGGGGTGCCAGAAAAGCACTCAGACCCTCCATCTAATATATCTTCGACATTGTTGTCGCTGGAATGTGAGGATGGAAGGGGTAGAAAGTTGCTACTAACAATGTCGACATTAGTAATCGGTTCTAGTTTCGGTTCTAGTTTCAGTTCGACTTTGGGCAACACGTCTTTGGATGATGGGCTTGAATTTTCAGCTGAGGATGTGGACGGAGAGGTTTCCTTTGAGGCAGGAGTAAGAATGCTATTTGTTAAATCTCCATTTTTTGGTGAGCTTGGGGAGGGAGGTATTGATGATGAGGGGAAAGAAACAGGCAGGCTTGATAAAGATGCATCTGCTCCCTCATGTATAAGCACAGTGGGGTGAGCCCTTCGTACGTGCCTCATCAAACAACTTGTGCTGAGGTCTTTTTCGTTCTTGCCCCTACTGAACTCTTTCATGCAGTATAAACAGATTGCTTTGGTATTGTCCCGTGGTGATATGCAGAAATGGTTCCATGCAGCCGATTTTTTCCTGGGACTGCCCTGACCCCGCATAGATGACAAAAGACTCTGAGTGACGGCATCCATGGCAACATCATAAAGGGTGCTTGTGTAGCCACTTAATAAACTACTATATTCTTCACAGTCTCGAGTTAGAAAGGGGCCAATAGCTCCACCAAATGGTAACCTGTCATCTTGCATTTCTTCTACCATTTCGTTTGCATCCTTGCCATCATCTTTGACGTTTTCACTCAGCCCGCTGCCATTTGCATACTTCTCAATCCCCATATGTCCTTCAGCATTTTGGGAAGATGAATCTATGTCGCATACTTTCTCCAACTCCAACTGTTTGTCTACCTGAGAAGATAAATGGAAAGTAGGGAGGGAGTCTTTATCCAGTGTTGAAGAACAACTAGGGGATTTTGCATCTGTGAGGTAATGAGGATGAATGCTGTAGGATTTGAACACATAGCCTTCCTGTCCCTCAATTTTTAAGAAGGTCCCTTTTGCCTCTCTTTTTTTACTCTCTGCAGACACTTCAGGTTCACTGAACAAATCCTCACTCAGGTGAGGAATATCCTCCTCCCCGTCCATGGTGGCAGCCCAATGGTTTCTGTGAATCAATTGGGTTTGCGTAGCTGAGTAAAGTCACTTTACTTCAGGTATAGTCATTGATAAGGTGCTTCTCAAAGAGGTGTTGTATTGGATGTGTTGCTTTCGTTGACCCTGAGTGCCTGCTTGTCCATCTCCATTTGTAACTAAAGTAGTTTTACTTCTTTCCACACCACCTATGGAGAAAGAAGAACGAAAAGATAAGATCTATGCAAAAGGCACAAACAGGATTCCTAAAGCAGGTAATACAAGTGTGACATAGCTAAGCACGTTTTAGTTTCCTTTGCCAACTGGTTCCTGTAAAGGCCAAATAAGGGAAGCTGGTTTGGGGGATTAAAGCCAAACTCATAAATTGCTTTACAGTTAAGTAATGTGATACCATTATTATTTTCAAAATAGGCTGGGATTGATTATCTAAAAAAGTGCAGTTCATTTCTATTCAGACAAATAGCAACATTTTTTTTATTTTTAGCTCCAAGTCATGTCAGTTTTAACTTATATAAAGGCATTTAGTCAACTTTAAAGCCTTTTCCATTAAACTGTTGCTTATCTGTAACATCTTCTACTCCTACACATTTATTCAAGTAAACCTAAATGCAAATCTCTTATTTAGATTAGTAATGCTGAACTATTATTTAACAGGGGGTGTTTTAAAATCTTCACTAAATAACATTCATTTAGTCTTATTTGCCAGGAAGACAGTTTTCCCCAGCTGTATGAAGCTCCTCTCCCATCTCCTACTCTCCATTGCCTCTCACCTGCCTGAAAAGTAAGCTGGTTGAATTTTTTCTCCTTTGCTAAAAAAAGAAAATGGTCTGTTTGAAAACACTTCTCATTAAAAATAATACAAAACCTTATCTAGCATGGAGAATTAATGACAACCATTAAATTTTACGGAGAATTAAGGACAATCACTCAGTTTTACCAAACTAAAAAAGGTCAGCTATAAGGGACCTATTGCTCACACAGCCAACTACAGCTTCGGTAAATGAGCAGATATTTAGACTTTTTTACCATCTAATATTAGCTCACATATTAGCTCATTAGCAAAGCTATACAGAGCTCAACAGCATGCTGGTGATACATTTTAGCCATTTTATTAAGGTGAATAGGGTCTGGAACTTCATAAAAGTTGAAGGACTGTGGCCTTTAAAGATTTGAGTGCAAGACCATTGTTCTAAAAAGAACAAAAAGCTAAAATTTGCACCATTTTCACTTTGGTCAATATCAAATTTAGTACCCGTTTGTTCTATACTTTTCTAAAGACCTTATCTCACCATCATGAGCTATTTTAATTGTGTAATTAAATTAGTAAAACAGGGTTTTTGAAGTAACAGCTGAGCGCTAGTTTAAAAAATGGACACACAATCCCCAAACAAGCCTAAGGGTGCCAAAAAGGGCCCGAAGAGATCAAAATGGCTCCTTAATTGCTTCCTGGGATCAAATTAACCAGTATTAAAATATTGAGTGACTCAGAATCCCAAATGGATTTATAGGATTTAAAAAGAAACAATGGAGGGATCATTAATACTGTTGTAATGAGGGGGTGCAGAACATTCATTCTCTATGGTCTCTTTATGTTTCAGCAGACATAACATTGCGTATTCAATAGTTAAAACACTTTGCTTCAACAACCTTTGTAAGCTAAATAATAAAAACTTAAATTACTTAAAATGTAAGTGATTGTAAACAGGAACTAGAAAATACCACTCTTTAGCCACCTTTGAGTATAGAACAGAAGTTATAGAGCACAGCGAAATTCAGTAAACAGAAACTAAAGAGAACCTATCTGAGAAAGATTAGGAGAGGGAAAAAAATGTGAAGCTCTCTGATGCAAGCAAAATCAAACAAATTCAGATTGTGGGCAATTCTGTATTAAAGTCTAAACTGTTTTATTCAAGAATTTTGTTGAAATGCATTTTATTTAATGCAAAATTTTATTATTTCCACCCTCAAAGCTCAAACTTTTTCTAAAAACAATTAGATTCTAGTCATTTGAGCAAACTTAAAGCTACAGTGTGTAATTTTCAGCTACATCTAACGTCCAGACTGCAGACCGCAGCAACATGAACATCTCCCCCCCACCGCTTCTCCCCCCCAACAGTACGGCGAGCGTTACAGGACAAAATGTCTTCCACGACGTCCGCATCACCTACCTTCTCAAGTGATGAGGTTTGTTTACATAGATAATTTAACAGATAGTATTTCATTAGTCTGTGTAGGGTATAGATTATTTATTGTTCAGTACCGTCTCAGTTCATCTCTCTCAACTTGCCGTAGTTCGAGCGTAATGAGCGATCTCGCAATCGCTAGTTTGTTGGCTCTGCGCTGCCGTAGCGCAAAGATGTCTGCCTCCATGGCTGCGAGACCTGCTCCTATGTAATTATAAATAACGAATTCTAAGGCAACGCAAATATTAAGGTTAAGAGGCTGAGCTTGTAGATGATGATAACATAGTTATGTATAATATATTACATTTCTGACTGTATATCCCTGTAATTATTACACACTGTAGCTTTAATTACACAATACATTTTTTGTACTCTCAGACTACGATCAGCATTTGTGGGGCTGAAACAATCGGATTGATTACTTAAATAATCGTCAGCTAATTTAGTAATCGATTAGAGTATAGAGACTCTAAAACATGCCTTTTGCTGACAGTGACCCACGTAGAGCAGTAGCTATACCAAAATTGAAAAAAAAAAAAATAAAAAATGTAATTAAGAAGAAAAAAACTTTTTCGTCTAACAATGTGCTTTATCCAGAACTCCACAAGTGGAAAAGTTTTAGTTCCACTTGACTTAATTCTGCAAAAAATCTTCTTTGAGGAACCTTTTGCTGTCAGATTAATAATAGATTAATAATGCAAAATACCTTTAGTTGCACCCCTAGTAACCAGTCTAACAAAAAAAAACAAAAAAAAGTAAACATGAATAACCCATTTATTTCATTTATTTTTGGCTTTAACCTGATATAGTTTCTTATCTTTAAGGGAATACATGCATCGTTATGCTCTATCAAGAGCTTTTAACACATTTTATACCAGTAAACCAACAAGAAGCCAACAAGCACCTGTAATTGCTTTGAACAGGCCTGTAATCTAAAAATCAACAGTTCACAGCTTTGAGTGTGGTTAGGCATTTGAGGTAAACAAGCAAACCAGGAAGCAGTATTCTAACCTACTGCAGCAAAACCAGGGTAAAAAAAAAAAAATCACGCATAGAACTGCAGGGATTAGATCCTGTGATAAACAAAACATATGGTACAGCTGATTTAACAGTAATAAAAAATGGTCAGACAATAATCTCTACAACAGCATTACCATCAAACGGAACTACCTGCTCCAAATTTATGATCTGACGTTCTAATTTAAAGATAATGTCTGGTAAACATACTATTAAAACAGTTTATGAAAACAAGTAAAGGGGAGTGAGTGCTGACAGATTAAGAAGAACTACCTCTATGCCTCATGGGATGCCATTCGAGGCGTACGAGTACATTTTTTATTTGTGAATAAGCAGAAATTTGAAACAGAACAAGAGAAAATCTATCCAGATCCTGTTTTGTAGGTGTTTAGTTAAGCTTGCACAAGAGGCAGGGAGGTAACTTAAGTTTGCACAATATAAAACACTCTCTAAGATTTGCCAAGATTTTTTTTTTCTGGATTGGAGATAAAAAAATATCTGTCCAGGTCAAATGTGGGCTGAAAAGAATGACATGCCTTATTATCGTCTCAGTCTTTAGAGTATGTGAGTTGCTATGTTACTTGGCTGGATGAAAGTTCTCCTAGCTGAACAAATTAAATATTAAAAAATACTACTAAATAAAATAATACAAAAAACAATGCTGGATGCAGCTATAAGAAGTCCAGATGATGTACAAGTCTCCAAATTATAATTTGTTAAATATATTTTTGTTTCTAATAAATAAATAGCCAGTATTTGTTTTACTTATTTCTAGATTAGCAGAATTATTTTTATAAAACAAGTCTGGGTTCTTTAAGATTATGGTTTAAGAACCACTAATACAAAATAATGAACCGATATACTTCAGAAGATTCCTATTGGTTTCACACAATGAGATTGTCAATTATAAACAAGAAATTAGTTCAAATTGTTAATATTTATTTCTTTAACCTAAATACACCATGTATCATTAATACATTTTTAAAACATTCTTTTGGAGTTTGACATGCAACTATTTCACTACTATAGCAACTGGATTCCTATCATTTAAGGTCCCAACACTGCATGCTTACAATTAAATGGTTTCAAGACAAATATTTAAGTTATAAATGGTACAAATACCAACAATCACGCTCTCTGTATAACAACAAAAAACGACCATGATATTGCAGATGAAAGTAAATTAGAAAAAAAAAAAAAACATACAGAAGAGGATTAGGGCCACTGGAAAAACTAAAAAAGGTTTTAACTGATTTTTTAATTTAATTTCAGTATGACAAAAAGGTCAGAATTCTGACACAATTCTGACAGCTAACAAACATGTTAGCATCAAGCCGTAGCCGTGTCTGTTCTAAAGACTAAACTAGCTCTCTTGTTTTAATCACCTTCTGCTCTTCCATTAATGAAATAGCATCATCGGGGACCCCTCTGGCATGTAAAAAGTCACCTAAAAGTCAACCCACATCTTTGTCAGTGAAGCTGAGTGCTCCCACATCTCTTCCTTCATGGTGCCCATCTACATTAAGGTCCAAAATTCTGAGATTAAATTCAGAATTCTAAGGGGGGAAAAAATCTGATTTCTGAGATTAAAGTCAGATTTCTGAGAAAAAAGTCAGATTTCTGAGATTAAAGTCAGATTTCTGAGATTAAAGTAAGACTTTAATCTCAGAATACTGATATTTTTCTCAGAATTCTGACAGCTAACAAACATGCTAGCATCAAGCTGTAGCCATGTCTGTTTTAGAGAAATGCTCTCTTGTTTTTATCACCTTCTGCTCCTCCATTAATGAAATAGCATCATCGGGACCCCTCGGGCATGTAAAAAGTCGCCTAATTCCGTCATTTTCCACCAATGTGTCACTGGCCCTCCCAATCAACTCACATCTTTGTCAGTGAAGCTGAGTGCTCCCACATCTCTGCCTTCATGGCACCCATCTATATTAAGATCCAAAACTCTGAGATTAAAGCCAGAACTCTGAGATTCAAGCCAGAACTCTGAGATTCAAGCCAGAACTCTGAGATTCAAGCCAGAACTCTGAGATTAAAGTCAAAATTGTCGAATTTTTCCCCACATTAAACTTAAATAATATTTTTAAAAATCAGCTAACTTTTTTTTTAGTTTTTCAGGGGCTCTAATCCTCTTCCGTAAGAACAAAAAGCAATATTTCATGTGATCTCTATAAGTGATCGCCTGCGGGGAGTTTTCCGGGTTTGCCTTTACGTGCTAGTCAGGAAGATGCGTGAGGACGGCGGTAAATAGCCACGACGGGCTACCGTTCATCTGCTATTCACAACTCAGTCTCCATCAGGCTGATGCCCACAGATTTCCACTTAGTCTCAATGAACATCGGGTGTTATAGCCATGAAACCACTTCTTGTATCATATAAGCTGCACTGGTCAAAAATATTCTTAGCTGTAAGACTACATCATTAGTAAACACGACGATGGCTATGTTTGAGCTAATAGTTAGCCACAGAGCTAATAAACACACAAAAGCAACACACAGGTATAGCCCTTATGTCACGTTAAATTTAGCAAAAATATCCACAGCTATTATACGCGGACACACAGAGTTATTATTGTGACTAGACATTAAGATAAACGCCGGTAAATATCGGACCATACCAAAACGACTAGCTGGTTAGCTGCCAGCTAGGCCACGCTTAGGACATACAAGCTAACCTGGCGAAGCAGAACCCAACCGAAGCAGCACACGAACCGCACGGGATCCGAATCAGGAAAGCTCTCAACACGACGCCCTGCCGGCGTTAAGAAAGCCCGTTTTCAGACCTTTACATCAACCCGGCATACTTACTATTCACTCTGACGGTGCGAGCAGAGGGATTCGGCTTGTAAACGGTTAAATGTGACACATTAGATTGGTCCGGAGGGGGGTTCACTTTGTTGCTTTTGTCTCCTGGTTTGCTAGTTCGGCCGGAGAGGCAGCTCCACGCAACGTCGGACGGAAGGAAGTCGCATACTGACGTCATCGGGTCCTTATTATGGCCCAACGGATCAGGATTTCAACTATCACTTTCCATACACCGATGGACTTTTTTTTGTTTACAATATCAGAATAAGTTCCAAAATATTATCTATAACACTTTAGTGTTTGATTCCTGGCGCAAATAACCACGTGTTATATACTATAAAATGTTTATGTGAAATAATTCCTAATGTGTACAAAAAATTTCAAGCCAATAGTGTTATATGAATCCAGGAAAAGACCATATTACCTTTAGAACATTAAAAAAGGGACATTTCGATGGCCACGATTAATGTCAATGTAATAACAATTAGGCAAAATAACAAAAGTGCTTCTATAAACAAAAACATTCTAAGAGTAAAAGAAACAGTTTTTGTTTGATCCAACATAACCTTGTTTAGTTTATAAACCTAAACATAATCGTTAACTGGGCTTATTAACTTTTTAACTTGTCAATTAGTGTTTTACCTTTTTTTTCCAACTTAATTTAGAGTAGGTAATATATCATTCAAGGGCTCATAAATGGTGAAATGCCAAAATAATATGTACAGCCATGTAGCAGTATTTTTGCTGAATGGCTGGATATAGATCTTGTGCTTCTAGACCTCACTGAGAGACAAGGGGGACTCCATTTGTAAGGGGTATGCAAGTGATTAAAAATTGTATCTATTAAAAATATCTAATGAGACTTTGTTGAAAGCGTGGTTCATTTCCCCAATAAAACATGGCGGAGGTAGTGTGATGATCTGGGGCCGCATCATCAGCTCCTGGTTGATCTGATGTAACTGATGGAAACCACCAGTTTGTGGGCTTAAATTTAAACAAAGTTGGATTATACAGTGGGACAATAATCTGAAGCACTCCACGGCAGCCAACTCTGAAAACAGTCAAAGTCTTCAATCTTAAATCTTTCACAGGGATTTAAAATAATTATTTGAACAGCTGGTTTTAAGCTTCTTCCAAACATTGGAAAATGTTGGCTTTCTCATTTAAAACTGAGAAACAAAGGAAAACAAAACAAAAAACTGTAACTTGCTCTATAAAGGCTTAAAGGAATTCGTTGGGTCTAGTGTGTTTATGTGCTGATCGCCAAATTTTGAGCCATTTTCTTTATAGTTAAGCATGTATTACACTAGAAAAGTATTTGATTGAGTCACTTAAACAATGGGAAGCTTTTATCTTACAGCCCAGACATGTAACTTAGAGGAGTTGATATGATCCTAATAGGGCTTGGTCGTCGTGACGTAAGCACTTTGCGTCACCGCCATGTTGAATGCTTCTTTTACCGCGGCTCAGACTACTGCCTATGACTACCGCGTACTGTACTCCCTCTCAGCCGTGTTTTAATTTGATTAATTTCACCTTAACTTGA